GAATATCTTGATGCCGTGGCTGAAAAAGGCTTGGAAAACAAACTAGCTTGTTTTATGGAGAGAATAGGAGTAAGGTGGGTTTTTTTGAACCCAAGGGTGGGTGGCATTGTGGTTAAGACTTGGGGTTTAAGTCCCAAAGTCATGTGTTCAATTCCTTTCCTCTTGGACCAATCTCCTGAGCGAAGCACAGTTGGTTAGGAGGTTGGATCTCAAGTTGTTTAATCAGCACTTAGTGTGGGTTCAATACTCCTCCGCTGTGCGAGTCCTGACTTAAGCGAAGTTTGTCTTGGAAGGTCGGGGCAAGTTCTCAGGTTATAGTCTCCTCGCTGGGAACGACTAACAGGACACCCTGGCGGAACTTGGGTAGGGAGGATTTTTCCGTAACAAAAAACAAAAAAAAGTGGGTTTTTTGTGAATATCTTCACACTGTGTTTAGTTGGGAATTTGAGAAGAGATTTGGAAAGGGAAAGGAAAAAGGGATGTTTAGAAATTTTGGAATGAATTTGAAAAGGGAAAAAAGAAAAGATGTATAAAATTAGATGAAATGTTAATATATTTTATTTATATTTCATCTATCTTTTCTTTCTCTTTCTCTTTTGAAATTCCTTGCATAAGATCAACAAACATTAATGATATTGATCAATTTGTCATGTGAATTTAAAATTTAAAGAAAGTAGGTGTAATTATATCAAAATTATAGTTTAAGCAAGGTCTGTGTTGTTTATGTTAAGTAATTTCATAAAGATTAAGAAGGGCAAAATGATAATTTTACAATATCCAGTAAATTCATTTATGTTTACCATTATTGTAATATAATTAAAAAAGTAGAATGCGTAATTACATCAAAGTTGTGAGACTTATTATATTTTTATCAGATTTTAATAAATATTTGTATAATTTGCCTAAAGTAAAATAGTTTTTTTATGCGTATAAAATTTCAGACAATTTTATCATATAAAGTGAGACCTATATATTTGATGGATCCCACCTTACGTGTGAGAGGATTATATCCAATTTATCAAATTATTTGCATTAAGAATGTTTCAAAATAAAATAGATAAATTATATTGACCTCCTTCGAGATTTAGAGAAAATAAAATAAGTTTTACAATTTTAACATAATTATATTGGTCATATTTTTAATAAAGTTAAAGAAATCAAAACTAATGTAAATAGAGTAAAGACACAAAAATAAATAAGATAAAATATATATTTCAGTGTAAAAAGGATAATAATATCAATTTTTTTGTTTTATTCATATGACTATTGAATTATTAATAAAAATGAAATTAAGTGTTTTGCAAATCAATTTTTTTTTTTTTAAAAATTGATTTAATTTTGTCAATCTTAGAAAGTTTACAATACTTTTTCCAAATCTTAAAAAATGTCAGTATAATTTATCCAAATAAAAATTAAACAAAAACCATATGCACAGTCTTACAAAAAAAAATTGAGATTAATTACACTAGCCTCTCTTGAAGTCGGGAGAAACTACAATAATTTTTACAATTTTGACATTGTTATATTAACCTATCTTAAAATTTTAATTCACATAGCGTTTAGCATAATTTTTATTAATAATTTGTTAGTCATATAAATAAAAAATAATGATGTCATATTTTTTTATACTGAAATATATATTTTTCTTTATTTATTATTGTGATTTTGTATTATTTGCATTGGTTTCAATTACTTTAATTTTAGGGTAAATTATAAATACATTTCTTGAAATTTACTTAAAATACAAATTGCCCTTGAAAGATTACAAATATCCCGTTGTCATAATTTTTTATTTAAAAAAAAATAAAAATTTTAACTTCTATCCTATAAAATAATAAAATTAACTTTGTGTCATAAACTATAAAGGCGTATAAATAAACCTTATAAACTATGAAAACGTACAAATTAAACCCCTAACAAAGGGATCAAAGTAAAACATGCCAATAATTTAGGAAATTAATTTGTACGCATGCATAATTTATAGGTGGTTAAAGAGATAATTTTTAATAATTTAAGGGATCTCTGTGTAAATAACTTAAAATTTTGGATAAATTACAAATACACCCCTTGAGATTTGCTTAAAATACGGATTGCCTCCTATAGTTTGAAAAATTACAAATATCCCCTTATTAAAAAATTTTATTTAACAGAATTAACTAAAAAAATGAAATTCATAATTATTCTCCTATATAATAATAAAATTACCTAAATTATTAATTAAAATATATTTTTAATATCATTAAAAACTATTAATTGGCTTGATGATTTATTAATAAAAAGGTGATTTGTTATAAAATTAGAAACTTCTGGGAGTGGAATGTAATTTTTAAAATTATAGAGAATAATTCATATTTTAAGTAAAATTTAGGAGTATATTTATAATTTATAATTTATTTTAATAAAAGAATGAATTACAAATACTTTTCTTGATCATGGATGGATGTATAGAGGGACGACGCGTCCCCTGGGTTTTGGAATTTTTTTTAAATTTTATTTTTAGGTAAATTAAATTTACACCTTCTAGGATTTGTGTTTAATACATATCACTTCTTAACGTTTGAGAAATTATACTAATTCCCTTGTCATTGTAATTATTTAGACGGAACGAAAATATGAAACTCACGCACTCTCTCTTTTTTTTGCTTTGCTTTATTTTATTTTTTTTTTCCTTTGCTTTGCTTTATTTTTTTTTTCAATGTAATTTCTTCTTCTTCTTCTTCTTCCTTTTTTTTTTTTTTTCTTTTTTTTTTCTAATAGAAGTTGTTATCTTTTATATAAGAAAGGGGTTTGTGAAATGAGACTATTAATCACAGGGGTAAAAATGTAATTTTTAGAATATCAGGAGTGGAATGTAATTAGACCAAACCTCAGGAGTGTCAGTGTAATTTACCTTTTATATTTTTAAAGAAAGTATTTCAAATAAAAAAATATATAAAGATATTATTTAAATTGAAATGTCAATAGGAGTTTTTAAATTATTATGAGAGCAATAATTATTGTTTTGGTTGAAAATGAAGAAATTATGAAAAGCCATATTATTATATGTGAAATTTTATGAAAAATTTTCAATGTGACGGTGATATCCATCATTATTGATATGGAAATATGATTAATCTCACTATGAAAATATGAATTTATTAAATTGTTATTTACGTTTGACATGTGAGATTTAATCTTTATGTATTTTTTTATTATTGGTTGGTTATATCACATGTCAATGATAACGTCGTATCTCCATTATATTGAATTTTTAATAAAATTTTGTACAAAAAAAATTACTTTATTATTATATAATTTATTTTAAGGCTTATATCTATGTCCATTTTTGTATTGTCCATGATACATTAGTTATAATTTACAAATAACATTAATTTTTTTTTGATATTTCTCGAAATCAATCATAAAAGTTTATGTGAAATATTTTTGTAAATATTTTTGAAGTTGTAATTAATACGTGTCCTCTATGATTTAATTTTTTGACTTTGCCATTTTTCTTGAGATTTACTTAAAATACGAATTGCCCCCTGTGGTTTAGAAAATTACAAATACCTCATTATTAGAATTTTTTGTTTAATAGAATTAATTGAAAAAAAATAAAATTTCTAACTATTTTCTTATATAATAATAAAATTACTTAAATTATTAATTGAAATATATTTATGACATGATATTATTAATTGATTTGATAATTTATTAATAAAAGAGATAATTTATTACGAAATAAGAAACTTCAAGGGGTAAGATATAAATTTCAAAACTATAAGAAATAATTCGTAATTTAATCAAATATTAATGAGTGTGTTTTTAATTTATCCTAATAAAAAAATAACTAATATAATTATGTTAAAATTATAGGGTCATTTGTATTTGCTCTATATACTTCAAAGGAGCTAAGTACACTACAATTTATCCAAATGGTATGGTTTCTTTTCGGTCTTTCATCAGACTGGTAAGGTATTGTTGAGCCTTAGACCATCTCCAACGTTGAACCAAACTCAGCATCAAATTTAAATTTTGATGAAAAACCTACTTTTTCAAGCTTCAACCGTTGCACCAGATTGATATCAAAATGAGATTTCAGCAAAAAAAAGTATCAAACTGAGAACGAGACATAGATCTTACCAAATCACTGTTACTAACCGTTGAAAGAGGTACACCGGTCAACCCGCCGGTTGGCCGGCCGGTTGACCAACCGGTCAACCAGTAAAAGATTCAAACAGTTCAGGAAAAAAAGTTCAAACCGTTAAAAAAATAAAAAAATTTGCCTAACCGGTCAACCGGCCGGTCGACCACGCGGTTGTCTCGGGATAGATTTGGTGAAAGGTGAACCGTTGGAGTGAGTGGTATCAAATTTGGTGAAATTAGTCAAAAAAAAAAAAAAAAAAATTTTGCCTAACCGGTCAATCGGCCGGTCGACCACCCGGTTATCCCGGGATAGATTTGGTGAAAGGTGAATCGTTGGAGCGAGTGGTATCAATTTAGTGAAATGGGTCATTTTTTATTCAAATTTGGTGAAAAATTTGAGTCACCGTTGGAGATGCTCTTATAAATTCACTTTTAGGTTCCGTTTTGAAAATTTAAATTGTTCATATTTTAAAATTTATCTAATAGATTATTTCTGTAAAAAATTAAGTCGATCAGATAATAATAACTATGCATGCAAAAAATCAAATCTATCGAATAACAATAATTATATATTTGGATCAATTTTATATAAAAATATAAATAGTGAGTGTTCAACAAATTTTAAAATATAAATTATTTAAATTATTAAAACAAAACTTAAAAAAAGTAGGTCAATTGGGCCGGATTGGACGGTCTAAGTCTGATTATGGATGGGAGACGGTCCAATCCTTATCCAAAAACTTTATATACGGAGCGTGCACTACATTCGCCAATACAGGAGAGTGGGTAAAAAAAGTGTTGAAATCCAAGGTGAACGGTTACAACATGGCCGCTGTACGAAATACAAAAACGACAATTGAACAGTACTTGTACGGTGATCGTATGTATCTCTCTCTCCTCTCTCTCATCCACACTTGTTCATAGAGAGAGAGAGAGAGAGAGAAATGAAGTAAAACTAAAAACCCCAATTCACTCACCAGCTTGATCAATTTCTCTCTCTCGAGAAGCTTTCATGGAGTACTTCTCGAAGAAGTCAGCTCTCTGTGCTCTGTTTGGCTTCCTCTTAATTCTGGCCTTGTGTTCTTCGCTGGGTTATGCAGGTGATATAGTTCATGAAGATGATAAAGCCCCAAAGAGGCCTGGTTGCAACAACAACTTCGTTCTGGTAAATATTTCAATTCCTTGTTTTTAATCGTGTTTGTTTCGTTACTCAGTTCTCACTCACACATGTATGTACGTGTATTGGTTTTTGGAGATCACATTGTTAAGCTGCTTGAAGATGATGGTGCTTGTAATGGAAGAAACTAACACTTACAGTATGATTTTTCGTGTTCATTTTGTTCGCTTTTGGATTCATGGTCTCAATATCAAGCGGGATTTTTTTTTTTTTTATATATTTTTTTATGGGGTTTGTAAGATTTGGGGTTTCTTTCATTTGTAGTTGTTCCCTTTTTTTTTTTTTCTTTTTTTTGCGTGTTCTGTTATTGTTGCCCTGTTTGGTAATTCATGTAATTTCTGATGCTTTTTTTGAATGGATAAGTGAATGATTATATATGAATTAGGTTGGTCATGCTTCCCTGTGCATTTATATATACTAGTGGGTCTGTGCCTACCATCGGGTATGCTATTAAATATAAAATTATAAATTTTGATTTTAATTTAAAAGTACAAATATAGCCTCATCTCTATAGAATTTGGTATTTTAAATTCCCTAAAAGGGCATTTTCGGACATCAAAATGTGACATTTTCTCCAGGCTTCACTTATATATATATATATATAGTATAGATAGATAGAAGATAGATATAGATATAGATATAGAAGTATAGAAGATAGATATACTGGAAGAAAACTGAGTAAACTATGTGCAATTGAAACTGTCAATATGTGAAGGGAGAGTGCCTATGTTTTGTAGTGGGAGCAGTTGATTTTACTTTTAGGTGCTCACAATAACTGCTAAGCAAAGGTAAAATTTTTGAAAAAAATATAATGTTGCTGTGGTTTTTGGGGAATCAGAATTACATGACAAAGTTCATACCAAATAAATTGTTTATGTAATATAATATATATATATATACTAGAAGGTGTACACACCCAGATGGGTGTGCTTAAAATTTGCAGTTACAAAGGGCACGAGTCATATGGGTGTATTTGAATTCATTAGTTACAAAATAGGAAGAAGGGTAGTTTAGGAATTTAAAAAAAAACTATGACATTCACACCAAAAAGTGTTTGCATTATATAATAGAATAGAATAGAATAGGCAGAATATGTATACATATACTTAATGTTTTCTGTGAAAGTTTATTTGTAGAAAATGTTCCAGGGATTGATTTGATGGATGTTGGTCTTTTTGTTGTTATTTCGATAGAGAGGTTGTGTACTAGATAGAGGTAATTTTGTATGAATCGTTATATGAAACAATTGGTTCTTGGTAACAATGGTCTCTTCCTAGACTAGTTTTAGATCATGTTCTCATTAAGCAGCAGATGGTTTGCACACTGACATGGAATGGCATGACAGGTACGCTCCTTGGACATTTCCCAAGATCTATTGGACAACACTTCAAACATGTTCAACGCTCCTTGGAGATGGGAAGAAAGTAAAATTCTGGCTTTGTGGTTGGAATGGGAATGAGAGGTTGTTTAATGCTTGATGCTTGATGCTTGATGCTTTTCCTTCAATCATATTACAAGATTATTTTTATAGAGAGGGACAACAATTCTTAGGCAGGGGTTTACAAGTTTAGGAGATGGACAAGTTGATGGGGTAAGGGCTATAAGAGATAAATAGCGTTGGGATGGGGAAAGATTCTTTGAGATGGATATTAACGAGTTCAGGATGCTTCCAAGTGAAGTTTTTTTATGGGGTGTTGATTGGTCACTACAATTCTATTCTTTGGAGGGCCACTTGGGGTATGAGAGCTCCTCTCAAGGTAGCATTTTTTGTTTGATGTCCGGTGCATGGTAAAATTCTCACTTCGGATAATCTGATATGTAGAATGCAAGCAATCATAAATTGGTGTTGTATTGCAACCAAGATGGCAGGTCGGTGAACCATTTTCTTATTCATTGCCGTGTGGCAAGAGATCTGTGGACTAGTTGTGACTTAGGTTAGGGCTGCTTTGGACCTTTCCTTTTGTGGTTATTGATTTTCTTTATAGTTGGCAATGGGCCAGAGTGTGGAGGAGAAAAGAGCTATGATTGATGATTTATTTCTTATGTGGATCATATGGGGAGAGGAATTGTATGTTTTTGGAGAGTATAGAGATTCTAATGTATTAGTGAAAGAGTTCTTTTTTTAGATTTTTGTAATAGCAGTTCTTTGATTCTGTAATGCTTTTTGATTCATGTAGAGGTGTGTATGGTTTAAATTTCTTTTTGTCTTATCTTTTGTATACAGGTGTCAGTCCCTTAATGCCAACTTTTAATGAAATTTTATTCTTAATCATCCAAAAAATCTATGGCCCTTTTTGGAGCTATTATCTGTTGTCAAGATGTAGAATGATCACATTTATTTTTGCTAGTGGCATGAATGCATGAGCATTTAAATTATGGATGTAATATGAGATTGATTTGAAACATTTAGCATGTTCATGAAATGGCATGTGTTTTGGCAAAGTTTTGGCATGAGATACAGAAATTTTAGACGGTGAAAGGTAAGGCTTTTATTACATCATTACGTGGCATTTATTTGTTGCCAAATGCTTCTTGTTTCTTACATTGTATGCGAATCAACCTCTTTTCTCTATGGTTTCTCATTACGTGAATCCTTCCCTTTTCCCTTTTACTCCTCAAAGAAGTTTGCAGTTGAAGTTTTTATTCACTTTCGTTTGATAGGTGAAAGTCCCAACGTATGTTGATGGTAGAGGAGTAAATGAATTTGTAGGTGTTGGTGCTCGCTTCGGCCCTACCTTGGAATCTAAGGAGAAGCATGCCAGCTATGATAGACTTGCCCTCGCAGATCCACCTGATTGTTGTAGTAAACCCCAAAACAAGGTTTTCTTTGTTTCTACTTTTTGGTACATTAACCACTCAAAATCCTACTTGTCAATGCAGGCCACTCACATTTGAAGCATGTATCCTTTTGGTTAAAAGTTTAGGATTTGTCAAGTTATATCATGAGGAAGTTAATTTGGAATGTCTTTCTGTTTGGTAGCTTACAGGCGAGGTCATCCTTGTGCACCGGGGTAACTGTAGTTTCGCAACTAAAGCAAATGTTGCAGAAGATGCTGGTGCTTCGGCCATCCTCATTATAAACAACCATACAGGTCTTTACAATTTCACTTCACATTTTATTTAAATTTTTGGTCCATTGCAATGTCGTAATGATATCAAATATTATATTTTTGTTGATTTATTTTTGTTTCAATACTTCTTAACTTGTGTTTCATCTGTTAGTTTTTCTGGCTTTTGTTATGCAGAACTTTTCAAGATGGTTTGTGAAGCCAATGAAACTGATGTAGATATAGGCATACCTGCTGTCATGCTCCCACAAGATGCTGGTGAAAACTTGGAAGAAAGTTTAAAGAACAACTCCCTTGGTAAGGCTTATTCTGCATGATGTTGAATATTAAAGGAAAAAAACTAAATATATATGTTTAAATCGATAACATTATTAGCTATGTTTCTTCATTTCCCTAAATGGTATCGTTCTCTTGTTAGTGATACCTAATGTAGCATTTTATCTGTGTTGGTTTAGTTTCTTTTCACTGTAACTTATACATTCCTGTTTCTTATACATTCCTGTTTCTTCAGTTACTGTGCAGCTATACTCTCCAAAGCGCCCATTGGTTGACGTAGCTGAAGTATTTTTATGGCTTATGGCTGTTGGGACCATCTTATGTGCTTCTTATTGGTCTGCATGGAGTGCCAGAGAAGCAGCTATTGAGCAGGACAAGCTTTTAAAGGTCGTTATCTTTTATCTTTTGCCTTTTAATATAGGTTGTTAATGTGTGCCCTTAAGGCACATTCTAAGAAGCTTAAAAGGGTTGTACATTTTGCATGCAATTGAGTGTAATAAAGAATACTATCTTTTTAAGCATTCTTAACATGTGCCCTTAGGGCACATAACAAGACCCTTTAATATATATTATTACCCTATATTTAAGGAGTGTTCTCATTTGGGGGGTATGACACCTGCAAGGTGCCACTGTCTTTCAATTGATTTATGGATTGATGTTATTCATGTAGGATGCTTCAGATGAATTTTTTATCACGGAGGGCAATGGTTCTAGTGGGGTTGTGGACATTAGCACAACATCAGCAATTGTCTTTGTTTTGATTGCTTCCGGATTCTTATTAATGCTTTACAAGCTAATGTCAGTCTGGTTTATTGATATTCTGGTGGTTCTATTTTCAATTGGTGGGGCAGAGGTCAGTCTATTCTTCATGTTACAATTTTTTTTGTATACATGCTCACTTCAAGCTGATAAATATTTAGCCACACTTATTCCTAAGAGGAAAAAAAATAAAAATCTTATAATCCTAAAAATTGTGGAATAAAAGTTTGTTCCTCTTTTCTACAATCTGCCTCTTCTCCTGTGTATAGACTTGCATATTTATCTACCCAAATTTCTTGCCATATTTGTGTGTGTACATATATGTTGTTAGTAAGTTACAGCTCTCATCTGGTTTTTTTTCCCCGCATGTCCCTATGTAGCTAGGACCTTACTGATTTACTGCTATGTTTGATACTTTACATCTGCTGGAAACTGGAACAATATCTAATAAGACTGTACTTTATGTTTCTTTCTCTTCTCCTTGAGTTTCTTTGGACGCATGTAATACTACCACCCTCAGATGTCTCCTTGTTAAATAGGACTGTCAATTGGTCCTGGCAAACCCAAAGGCCACTTGTTTGGCCCAATCTTTTCCCGGCTGAGCCTAACTCAGTTTGGAATGGGCTGAGCTTGGGCTATGCCAACTTCAGCTGGAACTCACAATCTCCTCAAGAATATGACTTTAAAGTACTTTCTTATATATATATATATATGTAAATATTGTCTGTTTAATTAACAAAATCACGTGTTGATTGAGATTCTTGAGATTTAATAGCTAATTTGCGAGGTTTTGAGTTCAAACCTTTGGGCTTCCTGAAAAGTTGGCAAATGTTTTGTTACTAATATTTTTGAAGAAAAATTAAACAACACAATTGAACATTGGGCTAGCCTGAAGCCTATTGCATAAAATGGGCTGAGCTCAGGCCAAGAGATGTGAGATATAATTGGATTAGCTTAGGTCTGAGCTTAAGAAATTATATTCGGGCTGAGCTCGAGCAACCCTCGGCCCAGCATATGTACTTTTTTTTAAAGGAAAGTTTCAACCCGGCTCAGAGGTTTGAGCCTCAAGATGTTTTCTAATAAACTTGTCTTGAAGTGAGCAGAGACTCTTGAACATTAGAATATCACGAAGAGGGTCTCCAGTTTAGGGTTCAACTCATGCACAGCTCTTAATTTGAGACATGGGTCTCAGAGGTCTGAATTTGTCTTGAAGTGACCTTAGACTCATGGACATTAGAACATGAGTTATAACATGCTTGCATTCTTGAAAAGAAATGGGTTTGTTTATCTCAAATTTGCTTCTCTTTTCAATGCTGAACCTCATAGTCTCATTGTACTTGCAGGGTTTGCAAACTTGTTTGGTGGCTTTCTTATCGAGGTACGCATGTTGTTGATTAAGAACTTAGTGTAGGTTCCACTATAAAGGGGATACGCTTTCTTGAGAAAGAAACTGAAAGCAGCTGAGCAATGGTTTATCAGTGCATTTAAGAGAATATACATGCATGAAAAAATTGTGATGGAACTTTATTTTATTTTATTTTTTATAATCTTCTAAATGCTTGAATATGTATGTCCAGCTATATTTTACTTAATACTTTTGTTAGGTTTTTATTCTTGGCAACCCCGTATGACAAAACTCCTTTCAGTTATATTTATTTTCGCACTTTTATTGCAGTGAGGCTATGAGTGTTTAGATGCGAATCCAACCCGAATTGTGCCTTTCAGAGAAGTTTGTGATGCTAATGCTTTCAAGATTGCTACTTCGCTGATTATGACGGGGATCGAGCTGCCCGGTCAGCTCGCGGGGGTCCAGGGGGCAGCGCCACGGCGGGGTCGAGGGGCAACGCCCCCGAAGCAAAATGCAAAAATGCATTCCAAGTTGACTGTCCGCTCGAGCGGAAAATCCCTGGTTCCAGAAGTTTTGGTCGCCTGTAAAAGTACTGAGCTGTGTGATTTCGCGCTCGAGCGAGTTCTCTAGCGCTCGAGCGGACCTTTGTTATATCACACGCATATTTTGCTGAAGCCGCTCGAGCGGGATGTTGGGCGCTTGAGCGGACTGCGCTAACACAGTTTTCCGAATTTCAATAAGGATTGGGTTTTCTTCCAAATCTAGGATTATTTTTGGTTTTCTATAAGTAGTTGGTTTTCTCCCAAAACTAGACTACTCCTGAATTCCTCCAGATCTTCTTTTTGGTTCTTAAGGTTTATATTTGGGGATATTTTATTAGTTTTCTTTGATGTTTTATTGAGTATTCAACTCATAGTTTAAAGAGAGTACATCAAAGGTTTTGTTTGTTATACACAAGAGAGTGAGAGTTGTTCTTCGGTGGATTCTGAAGAATTCGAGCCTGAAGCTTCGGTGGATTCTGGAGTGACTCATCGTAAAGACAATTCCGAGGTGAAGACGGGGTTGGAAGAGGCACATAGAGGTTGGTTCAATTAAGCGTGGATTCACTAGGTAATTGAGAGTATACCTGTGTAATTCCTTTAAATCTTCTTAGTGGATTGTTTTGTGGCTGTTGCCCGTGGTTTTTTAATCACAGTTGGAGGTGTCCAATTGTGGTTTTTCCACGTTAAAATCGTTGTGTCGTTTTGTCTTGATTGTTTGATTGGGATTGTTTTATTGTTTAAAATTGATACATAATCACAAATCAACATCTAGAGGATTTCTAGATTTTTCAACTTTTATACTGGTTCCTTGTCTTTATGAAGCAAATTTCTTATTTCTCTTGAAATGGGAGCTGGCCTTCAATCGTGATTAAAGTGATTTTTGAATATTTACATCATCTAAGCTTAGCAAAGTTAGAATTTTCTAGGTGTCTGCACATTTCTTCACTATTTTGACTGGGACTATGGAGTCACTCAGTAATTGTGGTCCTTCTACTTTGATCATCATATGTACACAAAATAGAATTGAGCAAATTATAGATTTCAAAATCCTACATGTTTAGTGAACATATGCATAATAAATAAGTAACAAATAACTGATGTTTTCATGGACAACGCCAGCATCAAATGCTATATTTTTTAACAAGTGTCGGTTAGGTGCAAATATGGCATCCTTTTTCTTTCGATAAAATTTATAAAAAGGACACTTGAAAAGGACGCCACTCACGTATGCATGCTATGAACTAGAATAAAACTAGAACCTTTTAACCCATACAGCCCTCAACACTCCATATGGTGTAAAAAAAAAAAAACTGTTCATGGATGGGTACAACTTTCCATTGATCCACATAAAAAGTAAATAAATAAATTCATAATCTACTCTGCATTATGTACTTTAGCCTCTATGCCATCAAAGGTTTGCTAATTTCTTTATAGATGTCATTCTCTTTGGCATTGGAAACATGGATCAAGTATTTCATTACTTTATTTGTTCTAACAGAATAGTCATTGATTTTAGCTTTGTATACTTCTAGTGTACTGGGGCTACACTCCTTTTGGCATTCTTGGTGAATTTACTTAGTGAAATATCTAATGAAGGAAAAGCTGTTCTTGTGTGTGAATGATGTTGCATGCGCATTTAATAAAGTTGTTGCTATTGCTTTATTTGTTTTAAGATTTTAGAAGTATGGACTGACAAATTAACAAATATAGTTTCAGGTGGTTTGATCATGTTTCAGAATCATTTGTTAAAGTGCCCCTCCTTGGACCTGTCTCATATCTGACGCTAGCTGTCTCTCCATTCTGCATAGCATTTGCTGTTGTTTGGGCTGTTTTTCGAAGTGTATCCTTTTCTTGGATAGGACAAGATATCCTTGTAAGAACGAATTTCTACTGTTTTCTTTTATATTTGATTTGATCCTCAGTATACGTGTTTAATTACTAAAGCTTCAGAGGAATACAGTATATTTAAGAGTTTTGCAACTTCCATGTAACACCTCTCCACTTGGTAAATCCCATTTAAGAGTTTTGCTTAATTAAAGGAGACATATTAATTGACTACCCAAATATCAGTAATTCTGCGAGTGGAAATGTGTTTTTATGAGGCCGAGATTAAAAAATGGACTTTTGAAGCACTGTCCAGTAATCCAGTATTCATTCAATATGTGGATAAAATTTTCAATTGTTAGTACCTTTCAAAATTGGAGAGAGATGAAGATACTTAAGGAATCAATTATATTCTCTTCAACCCCAAGGGTTGGCCTGGTGGCAAGGCCTTGGGTTTTGGGGGTATGCTCCCTCCAAGGTTTAGGGATCGAAACTTTTTAGGTACTAACAATTTCTTGGGGCCATCAGATTAGGGGAAAACCCTTGAATTAACCGTGGTGCACTTGCGGAAAACTCCTTGCCGAGGGCCTGTGCACCCTTGGGGATTAGTCAGGTTTTGATCCAGACACCCTAATGCCAATAAAAAAAAAAAATTTATATTGTCCTCAAGATGGAAAAGTGGTGTCAAATTCTTTGTTTGACGTAAAGAGTTACATATATATATGATTCGCTTCTTTTAATCCTTGAAAGCTTCTATGATTACATAAAATTTGACATATAACTTGTATCATGCTGGATCTTATTCTTCATTCAATAATTTTTTTTTTCAGTTCTTGGTAGGCTAAATTATCTGTTTTGTTGAAAAAATGTGCATTGCTTCAACACAGTTCAGTCATTTATGGCACCCTAATAGCTAGTTTTGCTACTGATGTGATTTCCTTTTGTGCATCATGCTACACTTCCTGTGAGATGCTTTGCATTTGTTCTGTTAATCTATTTAGCGAAAAAAAAACTGAAATCACAAGTTAGATTTTTTTCAAAGACATGTTTTGGACTTGTTGCTTGTTATACTATTGTCGCCTTCCATATATTCACAGAAGTATGCTTCTAGGCCATGAGATAGATGCTGTAGTTGTGTATTTAGATGCATAATTAAGTGATAATTTAATTTTTTCCATTTGTATTTAGATGAAATCATAATTAGTTTGCCATTTGTAAAATGAAGGGGAGTCCAACTAATGATAATTTAATTTTTCCTTTCCTGAACAGGGTATTGCTTTGATAATCACAGTTCTCCAGATTATACGCGTTCCTAATCTGAAGGTGATTTTTTAAACTAGGTTTTTGTTTTTTTTGGGTGGTCAGGGAACCACTTATGCTACTTCTCCGTGGATGTTATCTCAGATTGCTATGAGCAGAAGTTTATTTTTTTGGCAATTTTGTGGCGCTATAAATTTCATTCTTAAGAATGTTGAAATTTTATAGTCAGCTTTTACGAAAATTAACAAGATCTGTAGATCCAGCACTGCTCATACCGTTATCACTTACACGAATCACTTGTGAATATTGCCTTTGAATGCATGATAGTGATGAAAATTTGGAAAGTAGTTTTGCTTTCTACGTCGTATTTGAATCTACAGAATTTGGTGGTTTAAATACAATTTCATGTAAATCAATTTGTACTAAGTGTTAGTTTTTGAGAAGAGAAGAAAAACAGAAAAAATGAAGAATAGAAATTGAATGAAATGAAAGAATAAAAAACAGGAAATGATAAAAGCTGATATGATGCAGCAAAGAGTGATCATTTTCATTCATACTGGTGCATTACATTTATAGTAAGAATATCTAAACTGAAAAGATAATGAATCCCAAAAATTATGGTAACAAACTAAGATTTCTGATAACACTAACAATATCCTGAAGAATAGGACTTATTGACTGGAAAAAAAATCAAATTCTAGTTATTGACTGAAACTAATCAAAGAAAAATTCAATGTAGCAGTCCTGAAGCAAATTATTAACACTCCTCCTTGCTTTAGGCGTTGCAAATTCCAATCATCTTCCTTAGTAACTCGAACTTGCCAACTGGAAGTGGCTTTGTGAACAAATCTGCCAGCTGATCTTCAGACTTGCAGTAAGCAAGTTTCACTTTTCCAGTTTGTTGCACTTCCCTCAAGAAGTAGAGCTTGATGTTGAAGTGTTTTTTTTTTCCGTGAAATACTGGATTTCGTGAAATTGCAATTGCTGCTTGATTATCAACAAAAATTTCAGTACCTTCATTTTGCACCATGTGTAAATCAGATAGAACTTTCCTTAGCCACAGAGCTTGGTTTGCTGCTGCAATTGCTGCAATAAACTCTGCTTCTGCAGTGGATTGCGCTACAATCTCTTGTTTCTTTGAACACCATGAAAAAACACCTGAGCCTAGGTTGAAACAGTATCCTGAGGTACTTTTCATGTCATCAACAGAACCACCCCAATCACTATCTGAAAAACCACTCAACTTGAAGTTCAGACTCTTCTCAAACTTGACACCACAATCAAGACTGCCCTTAATAAACCTTAAGACTCTTTTTGCTGCTCTTAAATGCACTTCACTAGCACAATGCATAAAACGAGATAAGAGACTTACAACAAATAGAATATCAGGTCTTGTTGCTGTAAGATACATCAAGCAACCAATCAAACTATTGTAATAGCCTTCATCAACTTTACTAGCACCATCTTCTTTGCTCAACTTCTCTTTTTGACCCATTGGTGTGTTTATTGCTTTGCACTCCTCCATCTGAAATTTTTTCAAAATTTCCTTTGCATACTTCTTCTGACAGATGAAAACTTCATTTTGGCTTTGCTGGACCTCCAAGCCAAGAAAGTAAGTCATAAGACCAAGATCTGTCATCTCAAAGACCTGCATCATTTCTTGTTTGAACTCCTCAATCATCTGTGCATTATCTCCTATTACCAAAAGGTCATCAACATAAAGAGATACAATAAGAACATAACTACCCTTTTGTTTAACATAAATAGTAGCTTCAGATAAGCTTTTTGTGAAGCCTAAGCTTAGCAAATGTTCATCAATCCTGCTGTACCAAGCTTTTGGAGCTTGCTTTAGGCCGTAAAGAGCCTTTTTGAGCAAATAGACCTTATCCTCTTCACCCTGCACAACAAAACCCTCTGGTTGTTCCACATAAATTTCTTCTTGTAGAACACCATTTAGAAAAGCTGATTTGACATCTAGTTGAAACACTTTCCAGCCTTTTTGTGCTGATAAGGCTAACAACAACCTGATAGTGTCTAGTCTAGCAACAGGAGCAAACGTTTCAGAATAATCAACACCAAAAATTTGAGCATAGCCCTTGACGACGAGCCTTGCTTTGTGTTTGTTGATGGAGTTATCAGCATTTAGCTTCGTTCGGTACACCCACTTTACTCCAATGATCCTTCTGCCTTCTGGTTTGTTGACTAATTCCCAGGTTTTGTTTTTGTGAATCATTGACATCTCCTCCTCCATTGCTTTCTTCCACTTCGGGTCTTTAAGAGCTTCTTCATGATCAGCAGGTTCACATAATGCTACATTACATCTTTGATAGATGTCTGAAAGTGATCTTGTTCCTCTAACTGATGGATCATCTACCAATTTATTTTCCCACTGGTCTGTTGCCTCCTCCTCAAAAGAATTGCTTCTAAATTCTTCTGAAGGTCTGTTAGTTTCTTGTGAATTTTCCCAGTCCCATTGCTCATCCTCATTGAAGTGAACATCTCTAGTTATCACCATTTTTCTTGTTTGAGGATGATATACTTTGTAGGCTTTAGAAATTGTGCTATAGCCAACAAAGATACCTGGAATTGCTTTTTTGTCAAGCTTGTCTCTCTTAACCTGTGGAACATGGACAAAACACAAACAACCAAATACTTTAAGAAAACTTAGTGAAGGTACATACCCATACCAAGCTTCAAATGGAGTTTTGTCTTCAACGGCTACACTTGGAAGTCGATTTTGTAGAAATATTGCAGTATTGGCTGCCTCTGCCCAAAAATTTTTTGACAACCCCTTCTCATGCAGCATGCATCTAGCCATCTCCATGACATATCTGTTCTTCCTTTCACTCACTCCATTTTGCTGTGGAGTGTAAGGAGCAGTGAGCTGATGTTTTATGCCAGCTTCATCACAAAACGGGTTAAATTCTGCAGAAGTGTACTCTTTTCCATTTTCAGACCTTAAGATTTGAATTTTGCAACCGCTTGAATTTTCCACCAATTTTTTAAACTTCCAGAATACTCCAGCAACTTCAGACTTGAACTTTAGGAAATAAATCCAACACATTCTTGTAAAATCATCAATGAAAAGAATGTAATACCGGCTACCTTGAAGAGATGGTGTTCTTTGAGGTCCTCCCACATCTGTATGAACTAGTTGCAGCTTCTGTGTTGCTCTCCAGGATGATTTAGGAAATGGTTTCCTACTTTGTTTACCAAATTGACAAGCATGACAATTTGGCAAGTGATCAACCAGAACTGGTAATCCTCTTGTCACTTCATCTTTCTTCATCTTGAGCATTCGTTGAAGATGACAATGCCCAAGCCTTTTGTGCCAGACTTCAGTGATGTTGACATTGGTGGAATAAGCTGTGTGCTCCTCCTCTGTAGGATCAAATAAGAAGCTTTTCCCTTTCATTTTGACACGTAAAATCTCCTTTCCAACGGCATCGTAGATGTGACAATACAAGTCTTCAAAGGACACCTTAAATCCTTTTTCAATTAACTGGCCAACACTCAGCAGATTTTGATCAATATCGGGTACATAAAGAACATCTGAAATAGTTTTTGTACCTGAACTGGTTGTCATTGCAATGGTTCACCATTCCCTATCCTGACTTTAGTCATTGTAGTAGCCTTTAACTCCTTAAAAAGAGTTTTGTCAAAGGTCATATGGTTTGTACAACCACTGTCAATGAGCCAACTTTCTGAGGAGACCTTAGACATACTATTCAGGGGACATCTCATTCGGTGTCTTGGCTATAGAATAGGCTCTTTTTGGTTCTTCATAGTTGGGCTACAATATCGGTGGATCCGGATGTGTTGGCTTTTATAGATTTTGTGAATGATTTGACTTCATAGTTTTTTTGTTTCTGGCCAGCAATAGGCTGCTAGCCTTTTGTATTCTTTGCTTCATCTTGATACTTTTTAATAATATTTATCTTTATTTATCAAAAAAAAATGCATTAGTTACATATGATAGAAATCTTTTTTTAACTCAAGTGCAATAGAAGTCCAAGTTTTCATATATCAGAGTTCAAAATATTAAGTAAATATGGAAAACAAAAAGATTCTTCACCAATTTTATAAGGAGAGCATTATAAAATATGAAGAAGAGTTAGAATATCAAATAAAAATGGGGACAAGGCTCTTCACTACCAGTTTTACAAATAAAACATCATGAATATGTTAAGAACAGAAAGATTCACCTGTTTTTCCACCAAATTTGCAGAAGTAATGACAACACGGATGCTTTCTTCTCTTTGTAACACAAGCAATTTTGGATGATGGCAAGCTATGCCTTATCTCTTGCGGTCATTACCAAAGGCTATAACCTCGGGAAATGGAGGATACCTATTATCATAATTGGACTATATTACAGAACTGTTAGTAGCTCACATGGGTTAACAACTTCAGCATCATGTTTTTTTTTTTTTTTGATAAGTAACTTCAGCATGTTGTTTTCATCAATGGGTAAGTACCAAACAACTATACATGCAAAGGTAACTTACACCACAACTAAATTGGGAAAATCTGAGAAAGGCACTGAGATTCTTTTGTCGGGGGCTGAACTCCAACACCCCTCACGGTTGTGGCATGCAATTGTCACTGGTAGGTGGGCAGGAATATCACAGTATGATCAAAACCATAAAATATCGCTTGTAAAAGTAGCAATAAAAATTTGTGAAAGGCTTTCAACAGGATAGAGAAGTTCTGGCAAGGAAACAACATCATGATGGTCCAATGAACCATGTCCCATAGTTTGAAGTCGGTTCAGATAAAACTTATTCCGCGGTGGTGGTGAAGATCCATGAGGAGAGTTTGGATTGTGGGTCGCTGATAGAGTTCTTGAAGCCTTCCAGACACCGATGTTGACATGCCATTGGTGGAAAACTTGAGTAATAAACAAGCCACGATGGAACCAAGCAACTGGGCAATCCAGTAGAGGATGCCACGTAGGAAGGTGATGTGGCCGCCGATGAAGCCGCCGAAGGTGACGGCGGGGAAAAGAGCAAAAAACATGGGCGATGGCAGCAGAGATGACGCCGGAGGGGGTGGCGGCGCCG